TGTAGAAATTCAAGAAAAATACAAATACTCTTTTAAAAATCATAATTAAATATTTTAAAATACTAAAAAATTATTTTAACTAGTATCAAAATTCATGGTCCTTACAGAGTTACAATCTGACAACTCTCATATTTTCGAGCAGCCAAGGCGAATGTCACTCAACAACGGTCTTTGCAACGCTCTAGCAAAAGAGACTACAAATCGACGGTCTTTTCAAGTCAAAACGCACTGCTCGGACCTGCGTTGCAACATCAAAACGCACGGGTCGGACCTGCGTTGCAACATCAAAACGCATGGGTCGAACCAGCGTTATAACCTCAAAACGCAGAGGTCATCCTTGTGTTATAACATCAAAACACAGAGGTCATGATTGCGTTCCAGACTCAAAACGCAGAGGTCGTGGCTGCATTCCAGAGTCAAAACGCAGAGGTCATGGCTGCATTCCAGAGTCAAAACACAGAGTTCGTGGACTCAAAACACGGAGTTCATGCAGAGCCCAGCTCTGCGTTTCAGAGTTCACAACACTATGCGACCTGTGCGTTTCAGCCTAAAACAGATCTAACTCCGCGTTTTGATGTCTAAAACGCAGAGTTCGGGCCCAGAACGCCCAGATTGGCGTTTTGACTCGTTCAAAGCATGAACTGAACGGTTTCAAAACCGTTTTCCCCACGATTTGGGGAGCTGTTTAAGGGGGGGGGGGCGGTTACACCCCACTCAACCCCATTTAGGAGCAAATTAAGGGGGCGGTTACACCCCCTTAATCCCCTATAAATACCTCGAAACTCAACTGAGTTCGGATCCTGGATTTTGGGGCAGAAAAGAAGAGATCTTGGCTCTCTCTCTTTGGGAGATCGCTGGCTTTTTGGGGAATTGCTGAAGCTTTGGAGATCGACCACCGGAGCTTTCTGCTAGCCTTGGCTTATTAACCGATTTTCGGTTCAAATCAACTCTTTTACAAAGTTCTTCTAAACTCATTCAGAGTTCTAAAACTTGCTTTGTAAGTTCTCCACAGCGTCAAACCGTGAGGAGAAGACATCGTTCCAGTAAAGTAAAACGTCGGATCGTCAACGGAGAGCAAACTCGACGCGAGCATTCGAGGGAGGCACTCCATCGCCACCGTGAAGAACACAGAATTAAACAAAGGGGAGAATCAAATTCATTCTCCTTTCTTTTGTAATCGGAATCCAAATTGTAATTGAGATTGAGAGAATACAAATCAAATTTCTTTTATTTTAGTTACTACAAATTTTCCACAAACAGCAGTAATGAACTCCGTGTTTTAAGTCTGGAACGCAGCATGAGCTTCGTGTTTTAAGCTTGGAGCAAGGGGATGACCTCTGCGTTTTGATCTTGGAACGCGGCGATGACCTCTGCGTTTTGTTGTTGAAACGCGGGAATGACCTCCTTGTTTGGGCTTGAAGAGATCATCAATTGCAATCTATTTTCTCAAGTTCTGCAAGGATCGTCAGTTTGTAATCCTTATGAAGATTCTGGAGCCCACCATCTTTCTTCTCTATCTTCACACTGATGAGGATCAGCCATCTACAGTAATTTTTAGATAGCCTACACAATCTTATCCACCTGCTCAATCAATCCTTTATGGCTACTTTCTCCTCATTCTGCAATTCCTCTACTCCTTTATTTTCCACATGTTGAAACACTTACTCTATCTTCAAATTGAACTTCCTCCTCAACTTCCTCCTCAATGGGGATTCCTCCTCAACTTTATTCTTCATGGGGTCTTCCTCCTCAACTTTATTCTTATGTACAACTTCCTCCTTAACTTCTTTCCCAAGGTCATCTTCATCCTCTCCTTTATCAGAATCCTATACAAAGCTTACTCGTGAATGGTGTTCCTCCTCAGCTGCCCGTGGCTTCAACTTACTGTTTTGTGTAATTTTCTTCTTAATATTTTCCTTCAGCATCACCAGGTCTATAACATTAGCACTTCTTCCAAAAGCTTTCAATATTTTGTTGAGTCTACTAATCTCAATCATGAATGCTTTATAATATATACTCTTCCTGTGTTTTGTAGCATAGAGTAATTGTCTGCAAAATTTAGTAGTATTTCTCTAGAGCATAAGTTGCTTCTCAATGAGTATAGCCTCCACCTCATCTTCCTTTTCAAAACAATCGTTAATATGCTTTACAATGATCTAAGATTTTTAAGAGATTAATAGAAATTAGGATTAGACATAACATTGAAATTATTTACAGTTAACATGAAATGAGTTAGACTTAATAAAAATAGAATTAGACTTAACAGGAAATAATCTAGACTTAACATTAATTAAATTGGACTTATCATCAACTGATATAGACTTTATAGGAAATGAAGTTGGACTTAACATGAATTAAATTGGACTTAACATGATATTAGACTTAACATGAACTGAAGTTAGACGTAATAAGAAATAGATTTAGACTTAATAAGAATTAAATTAGATTTAAAATTAATTAAATTGGACTTAACATGAAATAAAAGTAGACTTAACAGTAACTGATCTGATATTAGACTTAACATGAACTGAAACTAGACTTAATATTATTCAAAATTGGCCTTAACATGAACTAATATTTAGACTTAACATGAACTAAAAATTAGACTTAACATAAATCAAATTAAGTTTAACATGTTACTTACATAGCATACTGAGTAATTCTTCTTGGCTTCCTCATTCTTCGCCTTTCTCTTTGGGCTCTTCCCACTAACAAGATGTTTAGGCTTATGAGGCATAATTTCTTTCCTCGGTACTGGGGATGACAATCTGCTACTTTTGGGACTTGAGCCCCTCATCAATCCTCCCATGAGGCTTCCTCGTTGTGTATTTTGAGAGATAAGGCCCAACTTCCACAATAGGCTTCTGAAATAAAGTTATTGAAGCTCTTTTGCCTTTGCTGTAGTTGTCCGCTTCCTCAAAGAGCCTACTTTCTCACCATCTATTAACCAATTTGTCATTGGAGACCTGAATCTGTCACTATAGGCATATCTCTTTTTGCCAGTCATCTCGTAGTACCAAAGCTGTAAAAAATATAATCACCATTCCAACAATTACAAATTGACCATATTCACCTTTAACATTAAGACAATAAGACTTAACATGAAATAACTTACACATAATATTAAGTGATTTAGGATTAACATGAACTAAATTAGACATAACATGAATCAAAATAGACTTAACATGAAACTTACGGCTATTAGTGGCATGCATCCAGGGATATATGTAACCCCTAGCTTCTTCAAGCCCTCCAAAGCAACTTTAATGCGTCTAATAATTTTTGTATAAATAAATTGACCCCATGCAACTTTTTTCACCCTCTTAATGCTATTCACGTACTTGAGTAAGAGTCTAGGGATACCGTTCCTGCTTCTGGGGCACCATATCATCAAGCACTGATAAAGAATTTACAATAGAGCAAAGTCTTGGATATCCTTCTTTTCTTTTGATTCCACAAGACTTTCTAGTAGATCTTCAACATATCTTCATATCCTTCTTTTCTTTTGATTCCACAAGACTTTCTAGTAGATCTTCAACATATCTTCGAAGGCTAATTGGTGCTTTTCCTTTTTTTTGATTCCACAAGACTTTCTAGTAGATCTTCAACATATCTTCGAAGGCTAATTGGTGCTTTTCCTTTTTTTCCTTCCCCCCTCTTCAGTTTTGAAAAGTTTAGCAAAATATTCCACCCATATTCTGTATTTGGGGTCCCAATTGGTACAAATGATTTACCCGTCAATTAGAAAAAAAGTATGATTATGGACCTAACCTAAGTCAAAGTTAACAATTTTTATTTTTCCAGTTTTTACATCAGGGATAGAAAATGTTTCATTATCAACATCATAATAACTCAGCACCAGCTCAAGTGTTGGACGATCAAGTGCAGGAGCGCCAAATAGAATATAGTGCTCAAATATGGTTTCACAAATATGCATCCCTAGGCCACTAACATATTTTGGGGCAAGACGCTTCATAAATTCATAATAAGCCCTAATAATGGCAGTTGGCCTAATTTCTGAAGCATCATCAACTTTTTTCCTGAAAATAAATTCAAATGTACAAGTTGAATTAGACTTAACATGAACTGATATTAGACTTAACAGGAACTGACATTAAACTTAACATGAACTAATATTAGACTTAACATTGACTGACATTAGACTTAACATGAATCAAATAAGACTTAACATGAAATTAGAATTAACATGAACCTTAGTTTAGGTAACATGGAAATCAGTTCAGATAACATGAACCTCAGTTTAAATTGAATAACATGCAAATGTGTTAAGTTCTTTAATTAAGAAAAAAAAACCTAGCACTTACTTCTTTTTGGGGTTGGATTCGTTGGAACCATCCCTTGCTAGTCTTCTTTTTTGGCCTTGACCTCGTACGTCACCCCTTCACATGACCAAAAGGGCATTCGACGCTTTCTCTGTGCTTCCATTCCTATATGATTCATGGTATTCACCGTCCCTTCCATTCCCAGATAATTCACGAAGTGCACCCGATGACTGTGATTTGGCTTCATCTTTCTCCTGTCGTCCACCGCGATGAACGACTTCGAAATCGTTAACTGATGCTTCCTTCAATGACATTTTCACGGCAAAAACCCTAACCCAAGATTGAAATTCGAGACGGCAGAAATGGAGTTTGGGAATTTTCAATGGCTCCTCAACAGTAGAAGAGAAAAAGGGAGAGAGAGTACTTTCGTGGGGAGGGGGCGCGGTTACCGTGTTCGGTCAAATCAGAGGGTGGGATTGTAACTTCAACTGGGTTTTTCTCCCTCAGCAACTTTGGAGCCTTAACACAAATATACAATATATTTGGGGCTGAGTCACATGATCCAAAATATAGAGGGCTAGGCCACATGGGCCTCCAATATTTGGGGCACTAACACGATTTTTCCTCAAAAATGGTATTGACCATTTTTCCGGTTAACGAGCTTTCTCTAAAAAAAATATTGAAAGTTCGGAATTTTATAAAAATACTGAAAACATCTCCAACTCTGCCCTAATAGAATTCCTTTGGTAGCTTTGGCGATATTGACGAAGAGCGAAACTGTGATCTCCTATCGGTCTCTCGCAAGCGCGATCAGGTGCGATTAGTTTCCAAAATTATTTAATCTTTCTAGTGCTTATTGATTTTATATCTACGTGAATCAATTTTTTTCCTGAAAATTTTCCTGAATTGTTCTCATATTGTTCCCTTGCTGTTGAATCTGTTCTCAATCATGGAAAAAATTGAATTTTGATGCATTTTCTTGTATATTTTTTTCTTAGAAAATGGAGATTAGGTTTCTGGTCTAGATTAAGAATCAATTGGCACAGAAAATTGCAGATTGCGATGAAAACTCAATAAAAAAAAGACCTTGTTATCTGTTAAGAGCTAAAAAAAGCTCTTTTTATTTGTTTGGAGCTACTGTTACTTAGCCTACCTAATTCTTGCAATAATTGGTGGATTTCTGAACTAGCCCCTTAACACTGAGATAGTGGTCTTAAGTGAGGCAACCAGCTCAAGTCTTTCATTGTTTAAACAAACACTTCAGAAAACAGAGATTGGTTTATCTCTGTGATATAGAGTTTGACTATACTCCATCTATCTTTCTGCAAGTTGAGAAACTCCTCTTCACTGTTGGTGACTAGTGAATATAAAAGGCTTTCTCCCCAAAACGCTTGTTCCTGCTGTCCTTATGATCTATAGTTTTTATAATTATCACTTTAATAGAAGTTTCTTTCTTGTTCTATTTCATTTTTTCCCTATTGCATATTTGTTAGCGCGAAAGCTAATGCATATTTATCATATATTTTACGGCAGTTAGTTCTTGTCGGGATGTTTTCTGTTTATTATCTTATTCCTGGTAAAGAAATCTTTCTTGTATGTTGGGCTTTTGATTCACTTTACTACATTTTGTGTACGGTTGTTCTCTAGAGTATATGGGGACTCGGATAGTTTCAGCTGATTCTGCTGACAGTGACAGCGATAATGAGAATGCGGACATTGGGAGTGAGGAAGTTGGCAGCGAAGAAGAGCCAAGTGAAGAAGAAGAAGATGAGGAAGATCCAGATGAGGATGAGCCACAGGAAGTAGATTCAAATGCCGAGGCAAATGATGAAGATTCTTGTGGAGCAAAAGAAGAAAACTTAATTGAGCAGGAACTGGATGAAGCTGCTTCATGTGAGGTAGAACCAGACGAAGAATTAGTTGAAGAACCTTGTGAAGAAGAACCAGATGAAGAACCTTGTGAAGGAGAACCAGATGATGAAGCTTGTGAAGAAGAACCGGATGAAGAAATTGTTGAAGAAGAACCAGTTGAAGAAGAGCCAGATGAAGAAGAACCAGATGAGGAACTTGATGAGGATCCTGAGGAGGAGCTTTCAGATGAGGAACCTACTTGTGGATCTTCGGTTAACCAATCTTATGACAAAAACAATAACTCTGCCCAATTTAGCTTGGGCAAGATGAATATGTCATCTAATATCACATCTTGTGCGGGAAGACCTTCTGAGCTATCTTGCATTAAGAATTCATCTGGTAATGCTATTGTTCCGGAGAAACTGCCAGCTAATGAAATTACTGGCAAAAAGAGGCGTCGTAGATGGGATATTTCTGAGAATGAAGTAAAAGAACAAGCAGAAACAGGAAAGTTTGGACAATCGAGAGAATCAGAAAAGAGGAAGACTCGGCGGTCAAGATGGTCCAGTGAGGATTCACAACACAGCTGGGCATTGACTCCAAATCATCCTGGCGGTAATGATCTAGAAACTCCAAAATTGCTTGCTCAGCTTTTTGAGTTAACAAAAAAGCTGCAGTCTGGAATAGTCGATGATCGACTAGAGAGCGAAAGGTCTCCGTCTCCACCACCTCTTTACAACAACCTGGGGTTTCAAATAAATACGAGGGAGGCCAGGCTTCGTTCCAAACTTATGAAACAGAGGCAAGAAATTATTAAAGATTTAATGAAGAGTAATCCAAATTTTAAACCACCACCGGACTACAAGACCAATAAGTTGCGCAAGAAAGTCTACATACCTGTAAGAGAAAATCCTGGATACAATTTCATAGGCCTCATTCTTGGGCCTCGTGGAAAGACACAGAAGCAAATGGAAGAGGAGACGGGGGCTAAAATTGTGCTGCGTGGTAAAGGTTCTTCAGAACAAAAACCGAAGAATAAATGTGATTCTTCTGATGACGAGGACTTACATGTCCTGATAGAGGCCGATGACAGGTATTCTTTGGATGCCGCTGTGAGTATAGTAGAGAAGCTTTTGATTCCTGTGGAAGATGGGCATAATGTTCACAAGCTTAAACAGCTAAGAGAGCTTGCTGAGCTTAATGGAACACTGAGAAATACGAATACAAGTAGTTCGAGGAAGTTTGATCCCTGCAATGTTTGTGGTGATAAAGGCCATCCTACCGTTGCTTGCCCTTTGACAGCTCCGAGTTCGGGAGCCAACTCAAAAGGTCAGAAAGTGAACTTCTTTGCTGAGATGGGAGGGGGAGTTTCGCCCTTCAGTAGCCAACCACCTCTTGTACAAACCATTCCTCCAGCGACCAATTTTGCACCATATGTCAGCAATCGAAGGAAAGAGATTGATGATGCAAATCTATTCGTTGGTCAACTTCCACCATCTGTGGATAATACCAAGATGAGGGAACTGTTTACCCCTTTTGGACTCCTTTGTGAAGCGAAAGTGATTAGGGACAAGATCACAGGTTTAAGCAAAGGATATGGTTTTGTTAAGTATGCCGACCATGTCGATGCTGCTAAAGCTGTGGCAAATATGAATGGGTGCAAGATTGAGGGAAAGACGCTAGTTGTTCGGATAGCAGGCATTGAACCACTGCCTTCACAGAATAGTTCGGTATCCAGAGGACTTTTAAGCCAACTTCCAACTCATTCAGGATCTGCAGCTATTGCTCCGGAAAATCCTGATCCTATGCATTGGCCAGGTCCTCCGGAATCAAGGTTACCAGAAAGTCTTCCTTCTTTTTCAAACAACAGCGGCTTGCCAATTCTTAGTAGTCCTTTTAATGGACAATATTTGGCATCTCTTCCACCTCCGCAACAAACACTAGCAACAACATCTCATTTTTCAAGTCTTCCTTTTTCAAACATCAACAGCTTGCCAACACATAATAGTTCCTTTAACGGACAATTTTTGACATCTCTTGCCCCCTCACATCAAACACAAACATCAACCTCTCATTTTTCTGGTGGTTTTGCAACACCGGAAGAAGAACTTCTTCATTTTCCAGGATATCTGAAGAGCTTTGACCCTCCACCTCCAATGCCTTCAACCAGTTTGGGCTCTTCTCAGTTTCATTTCCCTCAAAACTTTGGTAGCTATCAGATGCCTCCATCTTGATATTTTGTTATGTGATCCCAGAGCAGGTATTCAGCAGTGGCAATTATTATGTTAGATTGTGGTTGCTTGACTAAGAGTAAGAGACCATAAGTGTTACGTAATTCGGTTGTACAGAAAAAAGAGAGGCAGTTTGGACTGAGAAATTGGATTGTGGTTAGTGGGTGAGTCTAGATATATTGATCCCTCTGCACTATCCTACTGTACCCTTCTTCATATTATTTGAAGCACTCACCAACTGTGATTGTGGAATTTGCTCTGTTCTACTGAAATGCGAAAAGAGATTGCTATTGTAAATGATTGGAATGAATTGTCGCTACCAATGTACAAGTTGACCATCCAGCAGGAGATAACTGGAAGATATTGGATAATTATAAGTCGTTGATTACCTTGAATCCCCAATCCGTGATACTGGCTATCTGTATTTATGTCTTGATGCCCTGTTAACTCATTCTCTCGTTGGTTATATTCGCAATGAGTAAGTTGAAAACAGTACAGCAAAGGTTTCTGAAGAGTTGGTCCTTCTAAAGCGCATTATGGTGCTTTGAGGTAACAATGAAGTAATGCAAAGGAGGTGTAGCTGAACTTGAACTGTGAATACTCCCAGAACGGTCATCTCAGCTGTGCAACAGTGATTAGAAGGGGTGACTCCAAAAAGAAAAAAGAAAAAAGGAGGCAGTGATTAGAAGAGGATTGGGATTACAGTTAACCCAAAATGAAAGGGATAGGAAGTCTGTTCGCATGTAGGATGTTAGTAGAGGATTTGTATTGGCATGGTTCTTTAACTGATCTGGAATCTTACATGAGTTTATTTCTTCCTGTTGTCTTACTATACAGAGAAAAGATGTTTCTTTTTTTATTTTTCCATTTTTTATCATGTAGAGAGGGCATGTGCGTACACTGATAATGGTTGACGGAGGTGGAGCTTAGGGTGTATCTGTATAATGTATTGGGTCAATTTTCTATCCCTCAAATAAATGTTTTATTGCTGCTTCATTCACCTCCAATGAGTCTTCTGCTATCTAGTAGTCTAAAAGTTTTTTATTTTTATAATTATCTATTGTTCTTTTGAAAGAAAAACCTAAACTTTTCAGAGGACCTATTGACTAGTGGAGACCAATGAATTGAAAGTTGCTTTTGAGTTCAGGAGCTACTTGTTCAAGGGTACGTACCCGGACAATTTTTTTTTTTAAAGAAGAACGAGAGAGGATACGTCACAGACAATTCTTTTCTGTGTATCTGTGTTCATCAGCATTTTTTTTCCATCCTTTAATTTGTTTTTTAGCATCTAGCATGGTTTCGATTCCTTAAAAAGGGAAGCATTATCTGCAGTTTGTCATTCTTAGAATATCAACTCCATGATAATTGCTTGGATGATTATATGCCAACGTAGAAATAGGTGAAGAAGATCATTTGCATTTGAGGTTGAAGCGATGGTGAATCAGGTTATTTACTTCATCGTATTTCCAGGTTTTTGCCTTTTTGGATACAAATAAGCAGGGGTAACCTGTATTATGCATTCAGCATGTGCTTTGTTTAGCTTTATACAATTCACATATATATATATTGAAAATGAGTTTTGTTTCGAGTGTTTTGTGTCTGGAGTATATATTCGATGCTTATACTTAGTATTTAAAAAAAAGGTAATGAATGAAAAACTAACCTATATTAAAAGGTGGAAATTTTTTGTTAGTAATGTTCCCCAATCTGTGGATGTTAGTAAGACAAGGGAACTGTATTCCCCTTGGGACCACTGCGTGGACAAGAACACAGGTTTAAACAAAGGACGTGGTTTTATTTGGTACAGCCATTACTCAGAAAAATTCTGATCCTGTACATTCACCGGGTCATACAGGTTGGAGGTTACCAGAAAGTTTTTCTTATTTTTCAAACAACCGCAGCGCGCCAATACGTGGGAGTTCTTTGAACAATACGTGGGAGTTCTTTGAATGGGACAATATTCGACATCTCTTGCCCCCTCACATCAAACACAAACACCAACCTCTCAGTCTTCTGTTGGTTCACAGACATCAACCTCTCAGTGGTGGTTTTGTGAGATCGGATGAACTTGCTCATTTTCTGGGTCCGTCAGAGTCGAGGTTGTTGGGGAATTTTAGTCTACCCACGAACTACGATCTTCATAACTCGGAAGCCAACCCACAATCAACAAGATATAAAACAATCACAATTAAGAAGAAAGAACACCGAGATTTACGTGATTCGATCGACCAACTTTGACCTACGTCCACGAAGCAACAATACGAGAAATTCACTATGTATCAAGGAGAACTACAAGAGGAACCACTTAACTATCATCTCTCAATCTCTCAACCTCACATACATAATCAACTATCATATTCTGTCCAAAACTCACTCCTTACAATCTTTTGAACGGACAAAGACTGTGAAACCCTCTCCCAATGTTGTAATCTTTTGTAAGGATAAAGACCACGAAACTCTCGCCTCTTGCACAATATTTTTGAGTCAGACTACGCCCCCTGCTAACCCTAGATTACAAGAATATTGGCTATCTCCATTCTCCTTAGTTTTTCCTCTAACAATAGAAGAATATATATAGGGAAACCAAAACACTATCTCTAGCCTAACTTATTAATTAGAATATGATTCAAACTCCTAATCATGATAAGACTCAATCTCCTAATCATGATAGATCTCTAACCCTATCTAATTCTTATGAAATTATACAAAGAATCAAAGACACAATCCCAACAGAGGTCACGAGAAAGTCTTTCTTATTTTTCAAACAACAACAGCGTCTCAATACATGGCAGTTTCTTCGAATGAACAATATTTGACATCTCTTGCTTCCTCGCATCAAACACAAACATCTATCTCTCAGTTTCCTGGCGGTTTTGCGAGATTTCATGAACTCAGCTCGCTCATTTTCCAAGTCCTTCAGGGTCGAGGTTACCAGAAAGTCTTTCTTCTTTTTCAAACGACACCCGCTTGCCAATAGATAGTAGCTCTTTTGATCGATGATATTCGACATCCCTTGCCCCCTCGCATCAAATACAAACATCAACCTCTCATTTTGCTCGTGGTTTTGCAAGATCGAGTGAACTTACTTATTTCGCAGGATATCCGAAGAGCTTCAACCATCCACCTCAATCCCTCTACCAACCAATGCCCTCAACCAGTATAGCTCCCGGAACTTTGGTAGCTATCAGATACCTCCAACTTGATATCTTGCATGAAGTGGTACATCTTGCTGGAATAGTAATAATAATTTGCCCTTGAACATCCAATACAAATTATGTAATAATATTATAATGATAATAAATTTTATTGTTGCACATATAATTTGGGTATTATTTATATAATTGTTATATATCCTTAGAAGTTATTTTGTTAGATCATGTACTGTGATGGCCACTTGCTTGGAGATATGATCTAACTTAGAAACTTTCTTAAATTTGTACTTAACCTATAACTAGTAAATGATAACTTTGTTATAATAGGTTATTATGCATGACATCGATATATGAGATGTGGTGGTGGGTCTCAACCACTGGGAATGAGAATTCTTCGGGTGTATGTCATAAGCACACATTATGGATAAAGTTTTTTAAAAAATTCTAATTCTATCCTTAATTGTTATGGATAAAGTTTTTGAATAAATCTATTCCATCTTTAATTGTTATGGATAGAGTTTTGAATAATTATGAATTGTTTAAAATTAAAATATCTAAGACTAGTATCTTTAATTGTTATGGATAGAGTTTTGAATAATTATGAATTGTTTAAAATTAAAATATCTAAGACTAGTCTAATCCTATAAATAGAGTTATGAATTGTTTAAAATTAAAATATCTAAGACTAGTCTAATCCTATAAATAGAGTTCATATGTAGTCTTATAAAAAGAGAGAAAATCTTATGAAGATAATATGAAGAAATAGAAATTTGAGAGCCTATCTCTCAGTATTGCTCCTCTTCGATGACATGTGGATTTTAATTGGAGGTTTTTTCTCTTGAGGAAGCTTTTTCAGATTGATCTCGGATCAGATTATTGTAGAAATTCGGAAAACGTTTCAGGTATAATTCTAGATTTTAATTAAATTTGATTAATAGTCATGATATGCTTTTTCCGCTGCCTTATATGTCATGTATCCAACACAGCTAAACTTGAACAGTGAATGTTTTCAAAACTGTATAGGATGTTCTGGAATAGTTTGTATCGATATTTGTTACCCTCAAGAGGTCTATTTGTTGAACAATAATTTCTCTTTCTCAAAAAGTCAAAAAAATTTATTAAGGGGTCTATCTTCAATTGGTTGATAGTACATGGGGTCTATCTGCAGCGAAACCTTTTCTATTATTTATCTGAAAGAAATTTTGAGTTCAGGGCTGCTCGTGTGAAGGCTCTGCACCTGACGTTCAAAAAAAATAAAGGGATAAATTACAGAAAATTGCATATGTACATTCATTAGCACTTTTCATCTTCTAATTTGTTGTAGCGCTTCTCATCATTTAACTCATAAAGAAGTGTTATCTGCAATCTATCAATCTTAAAATAACAACTCCATGATTAAGTGCTATTGAAGAATTAGATAAAAAGATCATTTGTAATTACCAAAAAATAAAGATTCAAACACCTATATTTGATTAAGTGAACAAAGTGAGGTGGAGTTTTTTATAAAAGAAAATTGATTGGGAGATTTATGTTGGGAATTTATCAAATAAATAAATATTATAGCATGAATTTAAACCCGGAAATTAAATAAATAATACATCAAAGATAGATAATATAAATTAGAGAAACAGGCCTGACGGGAGCAGTCGTGTAAACACTGCCCTAGAAGATTGAGGACCCGCCTATCGCCCTGGCGCAGATGATCCCTTCTCCCCTAGCGGTAAAAACCCCCGGAAACGGCCCGGCCTCTGCACTCGGGCGAGAGTGCAGAGCTTCAGCTCAGATGAAGAAGTTGCCCATAAAGTAAAACTAAAGTATAGATGAAAATGATATGTAGAGGAGAAAAGAAAACAAGATAAGTTTTCCACATTTTTCTTCATTTTTCTTGAGCTCAACATATGTTGTTTATATAGGGGTTGAAAAGAGCCGTTACAAAATCCCTCAATAAATTTCGTAACGTTCGTCATAATGTATAGTCATTATGCCCATTTTAATTACAAATTAAAACACATTAAAACATATTTTAATTGCATATTTTAATTACAAAAATTTATTAGAATTCATTAAGGCAAAATTGCCTTTTCTTTAAAAATATCCAACAACAACTTAATTCTAGACCCAATTTCCTTCTCCATTCTCGCAATTGTTTTTCCACGTGAGCCTACTATCATACTTGTGAAATCGTAACCAGGATATTCTTTCCCAGGTATATAAATCTTTGTTTTGATCTTAGTGGCCTTTTTCCTCATCCATTTTTTTAATGCTTTTTGGCAGCTAGAATTATTTTGGGTCAACTTTTCGATGAATTTTTCCCTCTATTCCTTGAGTTTGCTGCGAAGCCTGACCTCCCTTGTATTTACTCTAATCGCAAAGTCGTCGTAAAGAGGTGGTGGAGACCTTTCACTCTCTGGTCGATAATCGACTAGTCTAGACTGCAGCTTTTTTGATATTTCAAAAAGTTGAGCAATCAATTTTGAAGTTTCTATATCATTAAGAGGAGGATTATTTGCGGTGGATGCCATGCTATATTGAGAATCATCATCGGATCATCTCGATTGCCGAGTTTTCCTCTTTTCTGATGATGAGACTATACTACCAACATTCTCTGCTAGTTCTTTAACTTTATTTTCAGTAACATTCCCTCTGTCACACCTCTTTTTGCCAGCAATCTCTTTAGCAGGCAGTTTTTCAGGAACAGTTACATTACCAGCTGAATTCATAACACAAGATAGCTCAGAAAATCTTGGCGCAGAAGCTATATCAGATGTCATATTCATCTTGCCTGAGTTAAACTGGGCAGAAATTTTATTTTTCCTGTTGTAAAATTGGTTAACTGGAGATCCACCACAAGGTTTCTCATCAGGAGGTTCCTCAGGATCCTCATCAAGTTCTTCATCTGACTCTTTTACGTCTGATTCTCCTTCATTTGGTTCTTCTTCAACCTGTTCTTCTTCATCTGGTTCTTCTTCACTAGCTTCTTCCAGTTCTTCACAAGCTTCCTCCACATTTGGTACTTCTTCACAAGTTCCTTCTTCTATCATCTCTTCTTCATATGGCTCCTCTTCATAGGTTTCTTCATTTCGTTTCTCAGTGCATGATTTTATACTCAGGCCTCCACACGAATCCGCTTGATTGGGTTCTCCCTGTGCTGAAATGTCTTCACTAAACTATCAAATGAATCTGGATCTACCTCACATGAAGGAACTTCATCTATTTCCTGCTCACATAATTTTTCTTCATCTGCTCTACAAGAATCTTCATATGGCTCTTCACATGAATCTACTTCCTGTGCTTCATCCTCGTCTAAATCTTCCTCAACCTCTTCACCTTCACTTGTCTCTTCCTCAACTTCTTCTTCTTCACTTGGATTTTCCTCAATTTCTTCTTCTTCACTTGGCTCTTCTTTGCTGCCAATTTCCACCCACCCAATGTCCGCATTCTCATTATCGCTAGAACTATCACCATAATCAGCTGAAATATCTGAGTCCGTATGATTTCAGTTTGTAGACTTTCTAGACAACAGCCCTGCATAAAATGGAGTAAAATGAATCAGAAGCCTGTCATACAAGAAGCTTTTATTACTGGGAATAATATAATAAATGAAATAAGCATACTAAGAAGAAACAAAGGTTGTAAAATATATGATAAAACATGCACTAGCTTTCATGCTAACAAATATCCGATATTGTTTCATGGAAACATCAAAAGCATGCTGTTGGATAAGGCCGAGGAGGGGTTTACCTATTGATGTTCGAACCTCATGATTTTCATGTCTTGAGAGTAAAAACTCATCTGCTGCAGACAACTGCCACAGAAGTTGCTAAACAAATCTGCATTCACTTTTACCACCTTCTGTACTAAGCTTATTAGATGCATAAGCACTCCAAAGTATGGAATTATTAATAATAGAAGGTACCATATTGATAGGTTAAGGAAATGAAAGCATTAAACCATGAAAAAAAAAACAATCCAGATATTTCAAAGCATCTATGCATCCAGAGTTTGTTCTCTTTATTCTTGTCAAAACCATGCATATGAAATTTTTTAAGAATAAAAATATACACTGCTGCAAATTTATAGCATGTTTCAAATGCGTGTATATTCACTAGCACAAGGGATAAGGGTAGGTTTTAGATGATTCTAACAAATATAAACTAGGCTTTTAGAAACCAATAAAGGTTCTTTGATATTCGTAACTTACAATAATTATTGATTATAAACCAACTATAAGACAAATGTAATTAACTGTTAAATTGAATTAACAGAAATATTTAACTACAATTTTTTAATTATTAATTTTTTTTTAAAAAATAACCAAAACTGTTTACATGAACAGTACCTTTTTAAATAAAATGAACAGTGCCGTTTTCAAAATAAATGAACAGTAACATCATTTTTAAAATTAAACAGTAACGCCATTTTTTAAGAATGAACAGTAACACCATTTTTATAAATGAGCATTAACATTCTTAAAAATAAATAAATAGTAACGTTCTTTTTTTAAAAAATGAACAGTAACATTCATTAAAATGAATGAACGGTAAACTTTTTTAAAACATTAAAAACTGTTTAAAATGAACAGTAATGTTTTTTAAAATAAAATTAAAATCTGTTTTTTAATGAACAGTAAATTATTTTATAATGAGCAACAATTCTGATTAAATTGCGAACAGTAATAGCAAATTTTTTTATTTTTTTTAATTCGGATGAACAGTACTATCTCAAATGAACAGTAACTTTAAAAATTATTTTTCCGGATTTAAATCAAAAGCTATAAACATTTCAATCTTCTAGATTGTTGGGAATTTATCAAATAAATAAATATTATAGCATGAATTTAAACCCGGAAATTAAATAAATAATACATCAAAGATAGATAATATAAATTAGAGAAACAGGCCTGACGGGAGCAGTCGTGTAAACACTGCCCTAGAAGATTGAGGACCCGCCTATCGCCCTGACGCAGATGATCCCTTCTCCCCTAGCGGTAAAAACCCTCGGAAACGGCCCGGCCTCTGCACTCGGGCGAGAGTGCAGAGCTTCAGCTTAGATGAAGAAGTTGCCCATAAAGTAAAACTAAAGTATAGATGAAAATGATATGTAGAGGAGAAAAGAAAACAAGATAAGTTTTCCACATTTTTCTTCATATTTCTTGAGCTCAACATATGTTGTTTATATAGGGGTTGAAAAGAGCCGTTACAAAATCCCTCAATAAATTTCGTAACGTTTGTCATAGTGTATAGTCATTATGCTCATTTTAATTACAAATTAAAACACATTAAAACATATTTTAATTGCATATTTTAATTACAAAAATTTATTAGAATTTATTAAGGCAAAATTGCCTTTTCTTTAAAAATATCCAACAATTTATGCTAATAAGCCCATCCTTTTTGTCCTTAGTTTCTATCTTTTTAAGTTGTGGGGTGGTTATAATTAATAAATTTCAATATTAGGAGTGCAATTTGATAAATATTGATGATTTGGGGTATGAAGCCAAAACTACAAATCTATCGATTTTAGAAAAGGCTAAATTGAACTTAAATGACATAGAGTCAACCTTGCATCCAAGTTATCTTTATTTAAAGACTGAGCAAATAAGCACTCGTTGTTTAAATATTACAGATAAATATCCTTAAAGTTTTAAATGTTGCATTTTGGTATTCTCTTATTTAGCCAATATTGCACGTTGATGTCATCTTCTTTATTAAACATTGCATATAAATATCCTCAATATGTAAATGGCCTCACTTAAATACCTTAAAGTTTCTAAAAGCTGCACTTTAGTGTCTGCTGTTATGTGGTATTCTTGGATATGCAGAAAAACATAATCACCTTCTTAATTTTGTTTAACTTTGGGTATTTATCTGTAATATTTAAATATTTTACGATATTTATTTGCTCAGTTGTAAACTATGAGTCATTTAAGTGCAAGGTTGGTGAACCTATAAGGTATTTAAGTGCAATTTAGCCTTAAAAAAAGACCAGCTTTGTCACATATCCACTTGCTTTGTTTAGGAGTTTACTACCGTGACAGAAAGAAAAATTAAATAATAAAAAAGAAATGTGGAGAAGGAAAAGAAAAAATAAAATAAAATATTGTTTGAAAGTTTAGCAGGAGAATGAAATTAAACTTAATTTATCTTGTTTGAGAGTTTTACTAAAGAGAGGGAAGTAAGTGAATATATATAGAGTTACATAGATGCTCTTATATGTTATTAAAATATTTTGTCAACTAATAAATAACAAGGGTAAATTTGTCTCTCTATATTATTAAAATTTATAATGTTCCATTTTACATCCTCTGCCGTCCACTTCGGAGGAGAGTAAATCTTCCCAAAATTTACATCCCCTTCCATCCTTTAACACGTCCAAAAAAATAAAATAAAGTATAATAAAAATAAAAAAGTAGCCTCCCGAACAAAAGTTTTGTAAAAAGTGTTGCTACAGGGACCTCAAAATAGGGGACCCCTGAGGGGACAAATAAGTTGTCAACCACTTGGGACGTGATGCATTGTTCAGAACATGTGAGGTGTCAGCCCTTGGGGCATGATGCACTGTTCATGAACAGTGCATCATGCCCCAAAGGGTTGACACCTCATCTATCCCCTAAGGTCCCCTATTTTTGGTCCTTGTAGCGACAACCTTTGTAAATTTTAACTTCCCCTACGCTTCTCTAAGGGCATCTCCAACCCAGCACCAAAATGGTGCAAACAATGCATTTTTTGGCACTGTTCCTTCTCCAACTCTGCCTCATTTCTTGCGCTATTTTGGTGCATTTGAACAATGCTGCATCAAATATGGAGTCACACTGTTCATCGCATCATCACTGTTCATGTTTTATTTAAATTTATAAAACAACCCCAATAATATTTAAATTTTATAATTTTACTCCAATTGTATAATTTAGACAAAATAAAGTATTTTTTAATTATAAAAATAATGTTAAAATTTAAAAGATATTATTATTAATTATAATATTAAAATCTAGATATTATAATTAAAAGTAGATAAAAAGGAATATGTAAAAAAAAAAAAAATTGATATGTGGGGTTAATTGTTGAAATAGTTAAAAATATAGGGAATAGAAAATAATAATATAAAAATAGATAAAAAAGAATATATTGAGAATATTCTTTTTTGGTGTAAAAAATAGTACAGTGGGTTAGAAATGAATTACTATTAGATGTGACTTTTGTACTATTTTGATATAAAATTTACACTATTTTGATTCAATGGGTTGGAGATGGAGATGGTCTAAGCCTCATCCAAACACGCTAAATTGTCAACTTCACAATGAATATCTCCTAACTCTTGCCCTAATCAAATATGGTTCTTTTGTGAGGAGTTTTTGCGACATTGACAAAGACCCACGCTTTAATCCCCTTTCGATCTCTCTCAGGCGCGGTCAGGTGTGATACGTTTCCCAAATTGAACAAATTTTCACTGTAGCCTGGTTTTAAAATTTTATTATCAAAATCGACTGTGTTGAGTTTTATTTACTGAAATCGACCGGTTTTCTCGCCACGTCAGCGTCGCGGCGAGAAAGCTGGTCGTTTAATTTTTGATCGTCTTCGTAAACAGTCGGGGTTGCCAATCCCGACTGTTTAGTCCATCGCCCGCTAAGCGGTTAACTAAATGGTCGGGGTTGGGAACCCCGACTATTTCGTAGTAGACCTATTTCGAAATGGTCGGGGTTCCCAACCCCGACCATTTAGCAGAGCCCAGCCAACGCTGGGGTACCCAGGGGACGAAATGGTCGGGGTTGGGAACCCCGACCATTTCGAAGCTCATTTTTAATTGGTCGGGGCCCAACCCTGAAAGTAGTCGGGTTTGGGAAACCCGACTACTTATTTTGGGTCCCCACCCCCGTATAAAAGCCACCGCAACCCCTATTCCCCGATCCATCTCATTTCTCTGCCTCCCTCTTCTCTCTTCCGTCTGTTCTCCCAAAACGCGTGCTTCAGATCTCAATTTTGAGCTCATTTCTTCGGCGGAACTTCAAATCAAAAGTTATCTTAAACGTTTTTAGGTAATTTCTTCTACTCCTCTCCTCTTTTAACATGTAGAAATGTAGGATTTTTTTCTTAAAAATATTTTGCTAGGGTTTTCATTCATAAATGAATTTCGTGGGCTAGATTTATCTGTGAAATTCGTTTGTATGATGATTATTATCGATGTAATTAACTTTTAGGGCATATAATGTTCAATTGTTCAATTTTAGGGTTTAGGATTTACAATTTGGGAATTAGGGTTTTTGGTTGAAATTATGTGAGATTATTTGCATATTAATTTAATTTTTTATATTTAAATGATATAATTTTCTTTTGAATAGGTTGAACAATATGATGTTTATTGTTTGTTCTTATGGTGGGCAAATTAATTATGGGATGAATAATATGCCAATGTACGTCGGAGGGGTAACGACGCCATTAATGATCTCGGAATCATATAGTTACTACGACTTGGTTATGGAATTACACCGAGTTACGGAAATTGACCCACGAGAATACCGACTGAAAATTATATGCAATTGGCCCATAGCTATTGATAGAACATCCGCAGTGGAGATCTCGAACGATTATCATATGAGTATTATGTTTAAATTGGGCAAGTCGCAACAAACGGTAGAATTGTTTATTGAAAAGTTACCACATAATCCGTGCCAAATATTCAAACCTCCAGGAGAATTCTCACGCATGTTAGATATGAGAGTTAATTCCGATGGGTTTCTTTCTTCTTCGAATGAAATGGAGCGGGCTCAATTCGGTGGAACGTCAAATGTCATGAATAACGAAGTCTCTTATGGAAATATGGGGCCGTTAAGTAGGGCATCAATCGAAGAGGATGAAAGAAGCAATGACTCGGGAGGTGAAGAACAATATAGTGCACCAGTTGATAGCATGCAATTTGTTACCCAAGATGTCGAAGATAATCCGGAATGGCCTGATGAGGCTTACGTTAATAATGACTACGTTGAGTATGAAGAACCACCCCCCGACGAGTTTGAAGATGATGAGTGGATTCGTTCTTCCACAGTAAAAGATATGTGCATCGGTGAAAGTTCAACTCGTAGAGGAGATGATGACGCCCCCTTTAAAGTTGGTGATTTATTCGAGACTAAAGACCAATTGGTTGATGCTATTCGTGAATACTCTTTCGAAAAGAATTTCAAGTTCAAGCAAATTAAAAGCAATCGCACAAGTTATGATGCAATATGTTTTATGAACACACAAAGAACAGGTCTGACCGAGGGAAATGAAGCTGATTACTCATGTCCTTGGAAGTTATATGCATTTGCAGGAAAGAAACATAATTTTCAATTTAGGATAAGTGAATACTGCGGTGTTCACACATGTGTCAATCCAATATTAGAGCAAGATCACAGTGGTGCATCTGCCTCTTACATAGCGCGGTTGATTATGCCAAAATTAAGGAAGAAGCTTGATCTAACGCCCGATAATATAATTGAGAAAGTGCTTGATACCAAGTTCATTAAAATCTCGTATATTAAAGCATGGAATGCAAGAAGAATTGCGATGACAAAAATATTTGGTGATTGGGACAAGTCTTACGCGACACTAGCTCAATATCTTGATGCGATCAAAAGAAGTAATCCTGGATCTGAATACAAACTCATAACCAAAGAGATCGATCCGGGAGTTCATCAATTCACCTCTGTTTTTTGGGTATTTGGGCCTTCGATTGAGGGGTTTAAATTTTGTCGGCCTATTCTTAGCATTGATGGCACACACTTATACGGTAAATACAAGGGTGTACTGCTTGTTGCTACAGGAGTTGATGCAGATGGTGGCTTATTTCCTTTGGCCTTCGCCGTTGTGGAGGTCGAGAACAGTGAAAATTGGGAGTGGTTTTTTTCTTGCATTCAATTATATATTTTTAATGTGTTGCCTCCTAGAAAAATTACTTTCATATCTGATAGGATGAAAGGTATTCCAAAAGCATTGTGGAGGAGATTTGGCTCTCATCACCATCATCGCTATTGCTTACGACACATTAGAGCTAACTTCAAAAAGAGCTTTAGTCAGATTCATTTACAAAACCTTCTGTGGCAAGCGGGTTGTACGCCGGAAACATATGTGTATGATCGGATACGGGATCAAATCAAGGCAACATCTCAAGCTGCACATGATTGGATTGAGAGAAGTCTGGGCAGTGATTACGTCGACCGGTGGGCACTCAGTAAAGATGGAGGGAATCGGTTCTGCATGATGACAACCAATTGTTCTGAAAGCTTCAACGGGGTACTTAAGGGGGCTCGGGCAATGCCCATACAGGCGTTGGTTGCGAGGACATTTTATAGGCTCAATTACTATTTTGTCAAGCGGCGAGAGGATGGAGCAATGTGGGCCTCGTTCTTGACACCAAAAAATGAGGCGATTTTAGAAGCTCGAGTTAAGCAGGCGAGAGGCACGAAGATTGTTAGATTTGCTGTAGATGAATGGGAGGTTACAGACAAACATGGTCACAATTACACCGTCAATTTGGGAGGTGCACATTGCACATGCACCTGTAACATACCAGAATTGCAAAAATTGCCTTGTCCACATGTCATAGCGGTTACGTCCAAGCAATCGGGGGGTGCAAATATTTCGTATTACACATACGCTTCTGAGTGGTATCAATCAAGCAACTATAGAGAGGCATATAAGCAGTGTTTCCACCCCGTACATGATAGTCGTTATTGGCCACACTATAACGGGCCGCATGTGGTGCCTCCAAGCTATAAGAGACAAGCCGGACGCCCACGATCAGTACGCTTAAAAGGTACTATGGATGAAGGCCGGGAAGGAGCTCCGAAAAAAAATAGATGTGGATATTGCAGACAAGTCAATTTTTTTCTAACTCAATTATAGACCAATCCAAATAGATAGCAATTAATGGGTACAATTTTATACATTTGTAATTTCATTCTAACTCATTTATAGATCAATGCTTATAAAAAACTCAAACAATGCTTATAAATCAATGCTTATAGTAAAATCAATTTTTTTCTAACTCAATTATAGACCAATCCAAATAGATAGCTTATATGTGCAGATATTTCAGTTATGGAGGCGGGTCCATTGACACGTGATGTTCTTTATGACCAAGAGCGCCACCGATCCGCGAAGATAGACGCTGGGGAGGTAAAGTGCAATTTTATTATTTTCAATTATATATAAATTTCAATGTAGTTGATTGTTACTGAACATTTGCACTGTTTACTACATGCAGGCCCCGAGTATTACTATTGTCGATCATACCCGTGCACACTCTAGCTGGGAGTTGACGGATCCACAGATACAATATTATGTGCGTCAAGCCGGCTTTTTTGAGTGTTCACAAATTAAATGGGTAAGACTTGATTGGGCACTTTTGACGGCATTGGTTGAACGATGGAGGCCCGAGACAAATACTTTCCATCTGCGCCAAGGAGAGGCGACGATTACCTTACAGGATGTTGGGGTTATACTTGGCCTCAGAGTAGATGGTGATGCAGTGACGGGCAACGATGACTTCAACTATGGCACTAAGTGTGCAGAATTGTTGGGTCAAATTCCTACAATGAAGGGGGAAAGATCAAACTCGAATGGTTAAGGAATAACTTTATGAATGTACCGATCGATGCGACTGATGAGATCATTAAGCGCTATGCCCGTGCATATATTTTACATATGATCGGTACTATTCTGTTTCCGGATTCCACTAAGGATTCCGTGCACGTGAGATGGTTACCGCTTCTTGGGGACCTAGAAGAGTGTGGAGAGTTATCTTGGGGGAGTGCAGTGTTAGCCTACTTGTATAGAGAGATGACGAAAATAGCACTCGTACAAAACAAAGAATTGAAGGGCTGCCTCACTTTACTGCAGATATGGTCATGGGAGCGATTGCATATGGGAACACCTGATTTGAGGGAGGCTCGCGCTCTCGATGACCATATTCCGTTAGGCTGCAGGTATTATTAAGATGCATGTAATTTCAGTGCTTTATTTTAATATATACTAACCCGTTGTATATAAAATAGATGGCATGTGTCCAGATCTTGGCAAACCTCTCTAAAGGGGCATGAAAACTTTTACAGAAATGAGCTTGATCAGATGGATGATGAACATGTATAAAAATTAGAATATCTAAATATATTCAATTATGCGACCAATTGTTACCGATATCTAAATATATTCAATCAATATCTCATAATATCTTCTTTATAGGTCAAATGGATACCCTACGAGCTAGTGTTGGAGTCACTATCGAATATTTGCCAAGAAGGTGAGGATGTATGGCGTGCTCGCATCCCCCTTATATGCTTTGAGATTGTCGAAATGCACGTGCCTGACCGTGTGCTTCGACAATTTGGACTACGACAACATATTCCAGCGCCTGTGGAGAGAATAGAGAGAGATCCAAGAAAAGGTGCACATCGTGCTAATTGGCAAATAATTCGCCAAAATTACATCCATAGGTGGGTTTTAAGGGAGGAACAGGTAGTGATGGAGAGGGTTGATGCACCTGACCTAGGTGTGTACCTACGGTGGTATTGGGGGATTACTCGCCGGTGGATATTTCAGGAAAACAAAGCCCCGAAGGAGTACATACCAAGAGGCCCAGTCGAGAGAGAGTTGGTAAGTGTATAAGAACAATATACATTTATTTTGTGAGTTTTCTTTTCTCACCATCCACTTGATAATAATTTTCTTTCGGTTTTTATTTTATAGGTACAAGAGCTCGAAGAGCTTTCTAATATGGCACATGACGCATTGCGCACGACTACCGAGCAGGAGCCGAGGAACATGTTCCTTCGAATGATAAAAAAGATACAGTCGGCTCTTCAGAGGACGCGTCATGCAAGCCGTGATGGACGGGAGGAGCGACCAATTGAGTATGGGCGGCGACGTCGACGAGATCACACGGGGGCGGGATCAAGCTGTGCGCATGATGAAGCTGGCGGCTCACAGCAGACTCAGGCCGGATGTTCACAGGCGGTTCGAGACGACGCGGATGTCATGCACTCCCAACTTCACACACAAGCGGACGAGGAACTTATCCGAGCTCACGTCGAAGGTGATCGAGGAAGGGGGAGAGGAAGAAGAGGGAGAGGGAGAGGGAGAGGGAGAGGAAGAGGGAGGGGAAAGGGCGTTGTTGATATTTGTTAAGTTTCGATGGACTTGATAGGATGTTTGCGTTTGAGTTGCAATTTGGACTTGATATGTTGTTTGAGTTGCAATTTGGACTTGATATAATGTTAAGTATGCGTATTATATTTGTGTTTATGATTGTATTGTGAATTGATAACAGGAGTATGATTGCATTTTAGCATGTGTTTGTGAATGTATTGTGAATTGATAACAGGTGTATGATTGCATTTTAGCATGTGTTAGTGATTGTATTGTGAATTGATAACAGGAAGTATGAGTTTTCCAAGTAAATGTGGGCTGGAATGGGCTCTGCTAAATGGTCGGGGTTGGCAACCCCGACCATTTCGCCGCTGATGCTTGCTGGGCTCTACTAAATGGTCGGGGGTGCCAACCCCGGTCGGGGTTGGCAACCCCGACCATTTCGCCGCTGATGCTTGCTGGGCTCTACTAAATGGTCGGGGTTGCCAACCCCGACCATTTTGTCCGTTCAACCCAGTTAGAGCTGGGCTCTGCTAAATGGTCGGGGTTGGGAACCCCGACCATTTCGAAATAGGTCTATTACGAAATGGTCGGGGTTCCCAACCCCGACTATTTAGTTAACCTCTTAGCGGGCGATGGACTAAACAGTCGGGGTTGGCAACCCCGACTGTTTACGAAGACGATTAAAAATTAATTGACCAGCTTTCTCGCCACGGCGCTGACGTGGCGAGAAAACCGGTCGATTTCAGTAAATAAAAGTTTCTACAGTCGATTTCGGTAATAAAAAGTGAAAAAGTGGCTACAGTGAAAATTTGTTCTTCCCAAATTATTTATAGATTTCGGTTTTAAGTGAAATTTTCCTGAATTTTACTCATATTTGCTCCCTTGCTACTGAGTCCGTTGACAAACATATAATAAATTGAATGTGGATACTTTTTCTTGCTTAATCTTGCTATAAAAACTGCAGATTAGGTTCCTGGGTGTGTTCCAAAGTTTTAGTGACAGATTGCAGTGCAAAATTTCAATTAAAAGCACCATTTTTTTTTTCCATATTCATTATTATTTTGAAACAAAGTTGATACTTGATAGTTGATACCCTTGGTTAGAATGTGAAGTTCGAAGAGCCTTTGCTGTCTTTTTGCCACTCTTCACTATGATCAGGTATATAGTTTCTTGATTAGAAACGCTAAAAGAGAATTTAGAAGAGGATGATGAAGAAGAGCCGGGGAATTTGGGAATTTTCAAGAATTTATTGATTTTCCAGCTGATTACGAGCTCGGTTGTGTTGGGAAGAAATATTTGGAGCTGATGGAGAAAGTGTTTAAGAATTCGGGAGACAATAGAAAATTTAGGAAGAAGATTTTTATTTCTTTTGAACACCTTAGAACAACTTGGAACTTCTTGATTACAAATGAGAGGGAATGAGAGGTATTTATAGCATCCAAAGTACAAAATATCTAAAATATTTTAATCCTAAATCTAGAGAGTTCTAGCATAATATCTAGAATTTTATATTATAATTATCTAGAGAAATATCTAGATATTCATTCTCTATAATTTTCTAGAACATTTTAAGGAGGTGGAGATGTTTAGATATTTCTAGAGAAAACTCTAGAACTTGGATCAAGTATTGGGTTTTGGCCCAACAAGTGATAATTGGATCATTGATCCAATAATTAAACTTGATCCAAAATCAAGTTTACTTTTCAACACCCCCTCTTAAACTTGATTTTGCTACTCCAAGCAAACTCCTCATCTTGATAAAATCTTCGCGCTTGAGAGGCTTGGTGAAGATATCAGCTACTTGATCATTCGTCTTCACGTACTCCAATTGAACGTCCCTCTTGGTAACACACTCTCTAATGTAGTGATAACGAGTGTCAATGTGCTTACTTCGATCATGGAAGACTGGGTTCTTCGCCAAATCTATTGCTGACTTATTATCCACTAAGATCTTCGTTGGCTCCTTTTGTGGCAAACTCAACTCCTTTAACAGGTTCCGTTGTCACGACCCCAATTTCCGAACCTCAAAGGAATATTAGAGCCGGACTAAACCTGTGAAAAGTCCTCCAAAATATACATTCATTAAAAGAACACTAGAACAAATCTCTTCATTGAACTAAAACCAATAACAAATATTCTCTATAATCCCAAAACTCAACTAAGCCGATTAACTTGATAAAAATAAATATTCCTCAACTCCAAATAAATCTCAACCTAAAGAAAGAATCTCATTATTACAAACTCTCAATTCATCATCTAAACATTAAAGACTTTATTTAACCTTCGCCTAGAAGACAATAACAATCTCGAATTATTCTTTGCTTCGTTCTAAGAATTTGACAATCCTCAATTCCACCTAATCCCGAGTCTCTGAAAAGAATAGAAATAACACAATGAGTTCACAACTCAATAAGTGGATAAATTCATACATTAAACACTGGTTTTGCAAAACTAAAATATTACAACGAGAAATAAACAAAATATAAGAATGATATAGAATCATTAATGAACTCTAGTATTTGATACAAATATTTAAGAAAATTAGAAATCATGGAATAGAAATAAGCATGCTACGTCTCAATGCGGTCAACACTTCATACTCCGGTTGACTTGGTAAACCCCACAATTATTAAGCCCGTGGTTTCGGGACGGTGAGACCCAATTTGGGCTCTTAGCGCTAAAATAAAACCTCATAGATGCACATTGAGTCCTGTTTTAATAGCTTGCTTATATCCGACATATACCGGTATATTGACCTGAGATGCATATGCCTTAAGAAAATTAAACTAAGTTCGCATAACTAAATACATTATATAAAAATGCCAAAGGCTAACCGATATGAAATAAATCAATCACATATGCATCTCAATCTACTACAATATGAGAATCATAAAAATTGATAAAGAAAATAAGCATAGGCTTATACTAAATAATCACATGCATTTATCCAATCAACAATTAGTATGCGAGCAACCATATAGAAGGGTATAATCCATCAGAACAAACTTACATATAGTCAATATAATTTTATACGAAAAATACGCAGCGAATAATATACAAATTCACCACTTACAGCAAATCTGAAAGACAATCGAAAACCTCTCACAATGCCTCCTCGAAATCACTTGGGATTCCTACATAATATATACAAATAACCATCAAAATTTCTATATAACCTAAGACTCAAACACCTAAAAATAATCTTAAAATACTAACTAAAAGAATTATATTAGATCTGACACTAGTTCATTACAGTTTATGGACCTAACTTAGCATTGGTCTTATGGCGAATTATACCATTTTATTGTCTGATGTCAAGGCCAAACTCAAAGCATCCATATGAATTAAATTGAAGGACTTAGATACAAAATTGTCAATTTCACATTTTGAACAACAAAATAACTATACTTTATTATTTTCTATGCTTCAGTAGGTATGACAAAGCAACAAGAGCATTTACCAAATAATGTTAGAAAGATTACCTCGATCTCTCCTTCTCCTCCTTTGATTATTTAATATATATATATTTTTTTGAGAGCAGCGGCTATGTGTGGCGGAAACAGATTTGAGGACAAAAGCTTTATTCTTCCTTTTTCTTTAATTGTACGAGCGGCACAACACAGAAGGGAGGAAGAAGAACGGCTCACGGGAGAAATAGGGTTTTCTTTTTCTTTTTCTTTACTATTTATAAGTGCTCTCTTTTTACTAATAAAACCCTCTAACAAATTGGCATAAAAGCCCCTTTACTTTTCCTTATGTATATCTATCTTAAAACTTAGAATTATTACATCCGTAACCAAACAACATGGCAAACACATGAAGTAGCCGCTACATACTCCGCTTCACAAGTAGAAAGGGTGACAATTGGTTACTTCTTTGACATCCATGTGAAAGCTGTATCTCCAATGAAGAACACGAATCCGCTTGTGTTTTTTCGGTCATCTACGTCTCCACCCCAGTCGCTATCGCTAAATCCAACAAGCTTGTAATCGTCAGAAACAGAGTAATACAAGCCAAAGTTTATGGTACCTTTGATATAGCGAAGTATCCTTTTAGCTGCCTTGAAATGAGTTGTTGTTGGATGCTCCATGTATCGGCTCACAACTCCGACTGCATATAGGATGTCAGGTCTTGTGCACGTTAAGTAGCGTAGGCTTCCAACCAAGCTCTTAAATAGTGTTGGATCTACACTCTCTCCTTCTTCTTGCTTTGACAATTTGGCTCCACATTCCATTGGCGTGCTTACTGGATTCGAGTCATCCATCTTGAACTTCTTAAGAACCTCTTTAGCATAGCCTTCTTGAGTAATGAAAATTCCATTATCTTCTTGTCTCACTTCAATTCCAAGGTAGTAAGACATCAATCCAATATCGGTCATCTCGAACTCCTTCGTCATCTCCATCTTGAATTCCTCGAACATACTTGGATTGTTGCCTGTGAATATTAAGTCATCTACATACAAGCTGTTAGTCTAAGTGTGTAGACCCGAAGCTGCAATCGAAAAGACGAAGAAAACAGTCAGCAGACTGTGCGGTCGACCGCAGTGGCAGAGCCGGTCGACCGCGTGCACTGCAGGAGACTGAGAAGAAGTTTTCGCTCTGGTCGATCGACCAGCGTGGCCGCTGCGGTCGACCGTAAATATGCACAGGACCCTATAAATAGATTTTTCTCTGGCCGGTCGACCGGCCTTGGCACGGCGGTCGACCGCGAATCGCCCAGACAGTTTCCTGATCTGTTTAGGAATCTGTTTCAACCAGGATTCTATATATACCCCAAACGATTTTAGGGTTTGTACTACATAAAAAAAAAGAGCTTTTTGACTGAAAAGAGAGAGAGAATCTCAGAGAGATTTACCCCTTGTTTGAGAGCTTGTATTTTCTTCTTCAATTAATAGAAAGATTGTGTGGTGTGGCTCCCGAGGACGTAGGCACGTTGCCGAACCTCGTTAAATCTGTGTGTTCGTCTCTTTTACTGTTTTTACAAGGTTAGATCTTTATTTGTGGTTTATTCCTACTTTCCTACTTTCAACACAAGGTCCGGAAGGGCAAGGGTTCGATTGATTGTTTCGAATCCCCAACAAAATCTCCACACAAACGTTGGTATCATAACTTATAGTTGCCACATAAGAGATCTATCATTACAAATTCAGGGCTAAAAAGCGACCCTTATCATTCTTCAATTCAAAGTGCATTACGAAAGTTGCATCTCCTAGTATCAGCTGATCGATCAGCTTCTTATCATTTATGGTCATCATAGATTTTAAAGGAAACTAACTTAGCCGGTGATCAGCTTATCTCCGTGGACATCACGTTTGATGACGAAGTGCAAGCCCTATTGATTCTATCGCAGTTGCCGGATAGTTGGGCAGGTTGTGTGACGGCAATCAGCAATTCGGCGGGGAAAGAGAAGTTGAAGCTGAATGAGGTTGTTAGCATGATTCTATCCGAGGAGGTTAGAAGGAAATCGTCCGAATCAGAAGGTTCAGGTTCAGCCCTAAGTTTCGAGCAGAGAGGCAGAAGCCAGAAGAAAGGGAACCAGAACAGGAATCGGTCGAAATCAGTGAAGAAGAGGCCGAACTCGAAGGTTAGGTCTATCAAAGGGAAGTGTTGGAACTGCGGCCAGGAGGGCCATATGTCTTCGGTCTGTAAAGCACCAAAGAAGGATGCGGGTGAGCAGGAGGCTCATATCGTGCAGGATGCCTTGATCCTTGCTATGGATAGCGATTCTGATTCTTGGGTCATCGACTCAGGAGCTTCTTTCCACGCCACTGCTAATAGGAAACTACTTCAGAACTATGTAGCAGGGGACTTTGGTAAAGTATACTTGGGGGACAATGAACCTTGCAATATTGTTGGAAAGGGCGACGTTCAGATACAGATAAAGGGCTCTAAGTGGAACTTGAAGAACGTGAGACACGTGCCGAAGCTGAAGAGGAATCTTATTTCGGTGGGACAGCTTGGAGCAGAAGGCTACGTTTCGACATTCACCGGGGATTCGTGGAGAATCTCCAACGGTACGATGATTGTTGCCCGAGGTAATAAAACGGGAACTCTCTACCTCACTTCTCATGCGAGTGACACCCTCGCAATTGCAGCTGGCAAGGAGAGTATAGATCTGTGGCACAATAGGCTGGGGCACATGAGCGAGAAAGGGATGAAAATTCTACATTCACAAGGAAAGCTAACCGGGATCGACACCGTGGAAGTCGGGGTTTGTGAAGACTGCATCTTTGGGAAGCAAAAGAGGGTTAGTTTCCAGAAGGGTGGAAGGCCACCTAAGGCTCAGAAGCTAGAGTTGATTCATACAGATGTATGGGGCCCAGCCAGTGTGTCTTCTTTTGGCGGTTCGAGATACTACGTCACCTTCATCGATGATCACTCGAGGAAGGTGTGGGTTTACTTCATGAAGCACAAGTCAGAGGTGTTCGAGATCTTCAAGAAGTGGAAGGCCATGGTCGAGAACGAGACAGATCTGAAGGTGAAGTGCTTAAGATCAGATAATGGTGGAGAATACGAGCTGGAGGAGTTCAAGAGGTTCTGTGCTACGAATGTGATTCGCTTAGAGAGGACTACTCCAGGGACGCCGCAGCAGAACGACATTTCAGAGAGGATGAACAGGACCTTGACAGAGCGTGCGCGGAGCATGCGATTACATGCAGGCCTGCCTAAGACATTTTGGGCAGATGCGGTACATACGGCAGCATACCTTATTAATCACGGGCCATCAGTTCCATTAGATTTTAGGATTCCAGAGGAGGTTTGGAGTGGAAAGAAGATAAATCTCTCACATTTGCGGGTATTTGGTTACGTATCGGCCGCGTCTTGAAGATGTATGACGAACATACCGGCAAGTGTAGAGAAGACTCACTGTAGAGTGTCGACCATGAGTTATTAGGTGCGTCGTCTTCGGACGAGGAGCAAGACGACAAATAAGCAAGGTCGGATTTCTCATTCATGATAAGCTTCTCTGCCTGAACGGCGTTAGTTACATGGTGACTCTCATAACCAATTACAATCGACTCAAAGTCGTTCAGAATTAAGCTGTCACCGTATTCAGGTTCGCTATCCGCCTCATTGCCACTTTCCAGTTCTTCCACCGGTGGCTGGTCGGGGTCCTGGTATAGCAGAGAATCCGCGAAGTAGTTCTCGACGCCCTTAAAGGGGTGTTTGTCGGCCACTACCGTTCTTACCCGCTCGTAGTCGTCCACGTACTTCAAACACTGGTGTAGCGTGGATGGAACGATCCGGTTGCCATGAATCCACGGACGCCCCAGGAGTATGTTGTAGGAGGGTTCAGCATCGATAACGTAGCACGTCACCTCCGTCTTCATGTCGCCTATCCGACATTTCAGGCGGATTTTGCCGAGTGGCCGAGTCCCTGTGGCGTTGAAGCCGAAGATGGTAGTCGAGGTCGAGGCTAGGCGCTTCGACGGTATCCCCAAATGTTTGATTAGCTTCAGGGGCACGATGCTCAGTGCGGACCCCGGGTCAACCTGGATCCGATCCACTTTCGCCGAGCCGACGTATCCTGTGAAGTACAGCGGCCGGTCATGGGACGTGTTCTTGATGAGCATGTCCTCGGGGGTGAAAGTGATGCAGGGGATCTGTCTCTCTGAGACTTGGCAGCAAGTTGTACAGCCCTGTTCGATCTCCGTTTCTTTTGAGAAATGGGTCGAGAACGCCTCTGCGTCAGCCAACGCCTCTTGTAGGGCTTCCCGGGTAGGCCTAGACAACCGGAGGAGGTCGTACACGGTGATTCGCGCGGGTATGCTTTTCAATTGCGCGAGCACGTTGAACCGGTAAGGCTGGCGGCTTGAACTTGGCTCCTCTGGATTGGGAGGGACTGCTGCAGCCGGCCTCGCGGGAAGTCCTGCTGGGTTTTCCGCCCTCGCGGGATATTGCTTCGCAAACTCCTTTCCGGCTCTCGTGGCGAAGACGTTGGTGTCTTCTTCAGAGTCGGTTAAGGCAGTCATCGCCGCGTCGTCTGTATCCAGGATGGCGGTGACAACGTTGCAATATTTCCTCTTAGCCTCCTTGGAAGGCTGTGCGGTCCATTGCTCGTCGTCGAGGAGGTCCGGATGGACCCACATCACTTGCCCTGATGGCAGAGTTTGTGGAACCAAACCCTTCTCCCGCTGGTTGTGAGGATCGTCGTTAGTGATCTTCAAAACCGCCTTGGGGATAGGAATTATCCCCGCCGGAGCTTGAACCTCCGGGAGACCCGTCCCAAAGCTCAAAGTGACCATGTTCGCCGTCACCTGCTTTTGGACCTTCTCTTTCTTCAAGACCCCCGCGTCGTAGAGGGCCTGGAGTTTGTCCTTGAGGACGTAGCACTTGGTTGTGTGATGCCCAAGGAATCTGTGATATGCACAGTAACTTGGGTCACCGGTTTTGTCCGCCTCCTCCGGTTTGGCGGCTTCTGGCAACTTAATTCGCCCACTCTTGAGTAGAGTGTCGAGAGTCGCCACTACCTGGTCTTCTTTGAAATCATATTGCCGCTGGGGGCGTGGTTCAAATTGCCTGGGTTTCGGCTTTTGAGCGAACTTTGGCGCCGCGGCAGAGTCTACGGCCATAGCCTCTTTTCCCTTCGATCGAGGAGGGTTCTTTGGCGCCGCTGGTTCTGCTGCTCCCTTTTTGGACTGTGGCTCTTCGGCCTCCAGCCTCTTGATCATATTTTCAACTTGCTCGCCCTGGCGGACAAGTTCCTTCCAAGTTCGGGTTTCAACTGCCCCTATTTTGGACAGGATGTGGATTGACAGATTGTTGCGGCACATCTCAATCAGTGTCGCCTCGGAAACTTGGTCCCGACAGTGGACTGATCGATTTCGAAATCTCTTTACGAAGTCGTTAACTGACTCCGACTTACGCTGCTTCTCAGCGAGGAGAGTGGCCATTGACACTTCCGTGTCGTCGTCGAAGAAGCGGGCGAGGAAGAGCTTTTCGACGTCGGCCCATGCCTTGATGGAGCCAGGCTCCAGTTTGCGGAACCACTCAAAGGCCACCCCCTTGAGGGTACCTATGAATAGTCGGGTGAGAATGGCGTCGTTCCCGGTGAGGAATCCGGTCTGCGCCATGAAGTAATAGATATGTTGCGAGGGTGACCCCTTGCCATCGAACTGCACCAAACTGATTGGTTTGAACTTCGCCGGGTATGGGACCGTGTCCCATTCGATAGGGTAGGGACGTACCACCCCCAGCTTGTTCATGTTTTGCTGAAGCTTCAGCGCGTTCAGTTGGTCCTGGAACTCGTCGAATCTTTTGTCACGGGTGCTATCCGCGGTGTGCGACGTTCCTATCGATGTTTTGGAGGAGTAATCGGATTGTCGATCATCCTCCGTCTCAGCCGCTGGACGGTGAGGTGGTACCCATTCTTTATCCCTAGTCTGCCGGGGCAAGGGACGTT